GTTGCCACTTATTCGAGTGTTTTTTAAAATTAAATTTAATTAAAATTAAAGAAAAATTAAAAATAAATTGTATCCATCTATAGAGAATCATTTACAAATACTATCTCTGATCCGATATGATAAAACTGATATCCGATTTGACCATCTTTGATCGGCCTTGATCTTGAGTCGCGTCGTTCAAAGAGAAAAAAGGAGGACTATCGATCCTTTAGGTCATTATCGACTTTCTTCATCTACGCGTCAGCTATAAAGCCATTTCTGTCATCCGATGCTAATACCAGACGCATCCTTACAAGGCTGTGTTTAACCTCGGAAGGAAACGACCAGAACCCGTCTCGTCGTCGTTCGTGATCGTGGGAGCCATCCTCGTCCTCGTGGTCATTCGCTTCGAGAATTCCCGCGGACGTTATAGAGACAAAACACACAACCGTGTTTCTCGGATATACCGAGATCGAGTACGACTACTTTTCATTTTCGCGGAAGAAATGACGTCGCTGCGCCTAAAATGGCAAGCCAGACACTGTCAGTCTCTACGAAGGGAAAGGATACAGAAACATTATACGGAATAAAACACAAGATGTGTGCAATGAGAAATTGTGATTGCAATAAGTTGACGTAACATTCTACTGTTAATTATACATATAAATATATCAAGTTTAAGATGTGTGTAATTGGAAATATCTTTATAATATGGAATATTTCTCTTGCAATATTGAAATATATATCACTGGCGAATCTTGAGGAGATTGATTTCGAAATAAAAAATTTAAAAATTTAACAAAATTTAAAAAATAAGATCAGAGATTTTACTAGGTTTTCATCGTTGATCCTCTGAAGCGAGATCCAACCACGATACCAAGAAACATATCAAACTAAATAATTTTGATTATCCTGCATTATCCTTTTCATCATTGACTTCAGGATCCGCCAGTGAATTATACGAATGTGAAACTCTGCAATTTCGCATTGGTATGCAGGCGCTTTCAAGTGCCAGCTGCAAACGAAATTCCAGCCAATTATGATCGCGATGTTTCTACGCCACTGATATATCGAAGGTCGCGGTAAGGTGCGTCAAGTACGGCCCTTAACGTGCCTCCCGTGTGCAAGGCTATCCCGCCTAGTATTTACACGCGCTAACTCTACCGAATGTGCCCCTTGAACCAAGTCTGCTCCGAAACACCTTAAGTTCTTAATACCATCTATAGAATATCGACACGCGATAACTTGAGGCGTCTCGCATCATGCAATATTGCTCCAAAAATAGAATTATGAGAAGATATGGGAATGATTTAAAAACTGGATATCTTTTTTGATAAAAATTGAATTTTCATGAAACAAAAATTTTCGAAAGAGATAAGGGTATTGACAACGAGCTCAATATCGTATACTTTCCTAATATCATGTATTATATTTTTCTACGAAGTGATACGTATAATGTTAATCTAACTTTGAACGAGTCAGTTTGTCGGTGAAAATTATTTATTTCAGTTTTTGGTTATCTAAAAAATGTTTGCATCGTGTATTTAGACAAACGTTTTGAATGAAAAGATACGTGAGAATATTTCTTTTAACATAGGTATATGCAGTTTGTAGATTAGTCTTCTAATTTCATTAATTTTATTAAAACTTAAGTTATAGGTTTTTGTACTCGTTTGGACAATCATATTTCTTTCATGAATATTTACATAATATCGTACACCTCCTGATATTGATATTTAAAAATACGTAACTTCAGTTTAAAATGTAATCTATCACATTATGATAGTTATCATATTTGAATACTATATTATTTTAGAATTTATTTGTACTTGTCCAATGTGTAATTAAAAATTAGCATTTATTTACATTAAAAAAATGGATAGTGTTATCGAGAAAGTTTTGTCTACTTATTACAATTAATAGTCTGTATTTCAACTACGTGATTTATTGAATTTATATATTTTCTAGATAAAATCTTGTTCAAATTAAAAAATGGATATTAGACAGTTCTCTTACTAAATTATTTTTCAATAATTGTTTACCTGTAATCGATTGTCATATTTGACGAGAAATGTGAGAAGAGTCAAGAATATATAAAAGCGAGGGTATGACACTCGTACGTGTTTCAAGATCCAACTTCTGCTTCCCATTTATTCTCCTTTAATGGCAGTCGGTCGACGTTTCGTACAAGTCAGACAGACTCGCAGGCAGTCGTTCGCGTTTAAACACGTTTCATTCTTCGTCGATAATTCTGTCAGACGCGCGATAAACTCTGAATTTCTCTCTTGTAAATACATACACCGTTCCACGATGGATATTCAACACTCTCAGGGGCAACCTTGAGCCAGTAATGCGTTCGCGGTTTGCTTACGACCTACCCCATGTGACGAGGCACGCGATAGAGAGCGAACTGGAAGGAAGGCCGAACCGGAGTTGCATGTACGGCCAACGTAAATATTTAGCTGGTAAAAGGCGAGCAGCCTCGGGTGAGAAAAGAGACAGAGCCTCCGGAGTAAACGCGCGCTTTCCCTTTTTCTTTTGCTTTTTCGTCTGTCATAGCAACGTTGATGCGCAAATATATGCTTCGCTAAACCAATCGATCGAATCATCTCGGGTATCCTCTCGTTAACGCCGTGTCGATGTGTCATATGATTTATAGAGAGGCCATTGGTCGCGAATTGAGGATTACTTATCGACACGTCATCGTCGATTCTTATTCCAGATGCCCGAAGGGCGGGATTCTCGCATTCGCGCATTCGTTTCCTCTCGTTTACATTGGTAAAAGGGCTGGATAATTGAAGTCTCGAATCCGGCCGTTCCGGACCAAGTCCTTAGAAGGAAACGGAGCCGGTATCGCGGACAGGCGATCTGTCTTTATGATCTGAAAGTGGGCGTCGGTCTTCTCTCGGTCTCACAATGCCGGCGTAACGACGACACAACGAGCACAACGACAAAGACACAGTTCGCTCACGAGAAGCTCAGGACGAAGGATTCCCGTCTTGTTAAATCGCGACTGTATCCGCATGATATGCGACTGTACAACAAAATCCCGACAAACGAAAATCCCGTCCGTGACTTGAGAAACTTCGACAGTCTGATATCTTGATTAGAGAGAGAGAGAGAGTGAACGAAAGAATATATATATATATATATATATCTTTATATAATATCAGGATTTTATATACAATATAAATATCTTGTTAAACGGAACTCTTCCGGGCCTTGTTTATTAACAAATAAATTTTTTTTTGTCGTAAATAATCTAACAGTGAGCAACCATACTCGTATTTTTTGGCACCAAACACAGGGACGACTGTGATAAATTTTTAAACGAGTATATAGGCGTCTATACAGAAATATCATGTTGAAAAGATTTTTCCGGATCTTGTTTCTGGATGAATAATTTTTTTTCTATCGTAAGAGGTCCCAAGACATATCGCTATGCTTGTAATTTGTGGAACTAGATGTCACATATACCTATACATATAATTATAAATTATCCTGAAATTTATAGAATATATAATATATATTATATATAGAAGTAACATGTAATAATACACATATTTAGTGAAAAATGAGAGAAGAAAGATATTGATCAGATTTTGTCTCATTTTATTAACCAACGATTGATTTGCATGAACTATTGATTTAGAGACTCGATATGTTGATTAAGATGCACGAAGATATATCTGAAGTCATGCAAGACATTTATCTGAAGAAGTGCTTATCTAAAATACCATGTAATACCATGTTATTTAGAAATAATCATATACGATATACACATGCTGTATCGCTCACGTGTCTAGCATTTGACGGAGAGTTCTGTAATGCCATGCTCACCTACGAGAATGAAATATAACTCGCCAACGTGCGTGCCGCGTTTACGATTTGTTACGCCGGATTGCATTTTAAAATTCGTATTTGCGTCGTTTGCAGCAGACCTGTCAAGAGACACTTCAGCGTGGAGATATTTATATGCGTGCATCAGCTTGCTGTGCTTAAAATATTCAGACTATCAATACAAACGCGATTTTAGCGAGAGAGAAAGTAATAACAACTCGAGTCGACATTTTAAATATTAATCTAACATCTATCTTGATATTTTAAATAGTCAGATTATTTTATTTAAAAACTATATAGGATAATTTTATTTATCAAATTAATATTTTAATATATAATAAAGATGATACTTATGTTATTATTATAATAGAATTTTATATAGATAAGATGATAAAATATTTTTTATTTTATTTTAATTATAAAATTATATATGCCTATATTTAATCTATAATTTCGCCGAAAAAATATAGATGAAATTTGCTCTAATCCATAAACGTAAAAAAATAGAGATTGAAAATAGGAGCAAAATTTCGAAACTCGAGACGATAAAAGAAAGGAGGAAGTAGCAGCTGATTTTCATCGCTTGTCTACTCAGAATCGCGTATAGAATCGCAGAATTCGCGCGTTTTACGTAGACATTTAAAAGAGGTTTCAACATCCGCCTTCTCAACCGAGCGCGATCTTATCTCTCTCATGAGATGACAATTGATCGAGAAGAGAGAGAGAGAGAGAATGTGAGAGATTAACACACGGTGGCGTATTATGGTATCCTTTTAGTTGTCTCGTCGACGCGAGTTGATACTCCAGGTAGTCTTGCGCGCAATCTGCGGCTGCTCGAAATTAATTATCCGTCGCGAGATCGGACGGACCTCGGCGGGGTTTCCGACGAGAAGACCGCGGGAGACCCGCAAATCCGAACCTCGCTATTGACCTCACGATTTTTTATCCCAGCGCAGCGGCAAAAAGTCGCGAATGTTGAGAGGATACGCGGATTTCACCTTTCTCTCTCTCTTTCAACTTTAACAAATTGGACCACCAATTCAATGAGAAACATTAATTGTATTATAAATTATAATGACGTCTGTTTCAAAATATCTTATTAATTATACATACAAAGTTGTAACCAAAAGTATACTTTATCTTGATGATTTTATAAATTTGATATTTTTTTTTTTCTATAGGTCTACCAAGTGGAGTATGTGATAGTGAAGACCGCGAATTCGCCGAGACCCTCGGCCTGGATCCTCGAGAGATCCTTAGACGGTGAAAACTTTCAACCGTGGCAGTATTATGCTCCGAGTGATGAAGAATGCTGGACGAGATATTCGGCACCGCCTGTCACAGGCAAGCCCGCTTACGACGACGAAGTTATATGTACCAGCCAGTATTCCAAATCAGCCCCCGCGGAGAACGCTGAGGTAAGGATAAGCTAAAATTTTCGTCAAGCTCGAAAAAAAGTGATCGATCAGTAAATCAGCATTTTCTTTTTATTGTGCACGATTTTTGACATTTTTTTTACAGCCTAAAAAATATTACTTCACGAAATTATATTATTTTTATTTTAATTTCTATTTAATTTTTATTTAATATTTATTTTATTTTATTGGTTTATATTATTTTCTTTTAGTTTTTTGAAGGGATATTTTATGATTGTATTATTCTAATAATTAATAAGACGCATGTAATTAAATCAATCGAATAAGCTGTCACGTGCAAGATCAAGCTGTCAGACCGCGCTTACATCATGCTCCTTAGCTTGTAATTTTTCACACAATGTTCGTTACGGAACCAGGAAACGCGAGAAAGATATGGCGTAATCGGTGACTAACGTAAAAGACTGCCATTACGATCCAATTAAGTTGCTAGCGCGTACTACAAATAGTGCAACGCACGCATCGGCAACATCGAAGTGTTCCGAACACTGATAATTAACCCGTAATAAAAACACCTTCGAAGCGCATTTTTCGCGCTATCCCTTTAACTGCCGACCATAAACCCGGTATAACGATCTATCTCCAATATAATCTCTTGCGTACAAATGTCAGGCTACTGATCGGCGCACCTTCGTGTTATTTAACCGGCCTCAAAAAATCTTCACCTTTCCTAACTCACAATAATGATTCGATATTTAAATGTAATTAGATATTGTTATTTCTCTCACATACGTTGCCATATATTTTATCGTTGATAAATATATATAAATATAATGAATATATTGTATACATGTATAATTAAATGTATATATAATGAACATATATATAAAATATTTTAAAAGAATTATATTTTCTCGGTCAAATTAATTGTATAGTAAAACAATTATTTTGTACTGGGTGAGAGAGATATCGAAATCTCTCTTTCATTTTATTTTGCGTTTTATCGAAAAATTCTATCCGCTTAAACTATCGATTAAGCAGATATATGCTAATACACGCGTGATGCAACGAGGAGTTTGCGTTTATACTCGCCGACATGATTTTTCGCGGCTCTCGTTCCACTTAGGAGCGCACCGTAACCGTGTCATTATCAATAATCCTTGCGAAAATCCTTGGCGTCGTTAATTATCGTCGGTTTTATGCGGCCGCGCGTGTGTAATTACGCAGCGATCGGATGATTAGCGTTCGCGGATTTTGCAGGCAACGGGGTTGCCTGGCCGACCCGCTCGTTTCCGGTAGATCCCGTTTTTCCCTCTCCCACGTTTTCGTCTTTTTTTTTTCTTTTTTTTTTCGCGAAACGGAGGCGCCTTGAGATCATTAAGAAACGGAGACCAAGCACCGCTTTCTCGATATAAACTATATGTAATAGGCGTCTCGAAATTATCTCTACATTCCAACATTCCGCTTATCATAACAAATTTTTATTAATTTTTGTTTATTAATGTGAACTATTTCTTCAAAACTTATTTTGAAGTCAATTAATTAAAATTTAGAATTACCCTTTTGTTAGACATATACTCTAAATTCAATTTCTCAACTTATCCAATTATTAGGGTTGTTCTGTCAAATAAAATTTATTTCATGTATAAACTAAACATAAAACGTTAGCTACAAATATTCTATACTCAAACTTAAGCGAATTACAATTATTATAAAATAAACGTTTCTATTAAAACGTAATTATTAAAAAATACAAAATCATACAAAAATTCCACATAATATCGAAAATTAATGTTAGTTCGTCAATAAGAGTCGAGAATTTATAAGCAGTTAAAGCGTGTTTCAATCCGTCATATCCAACAAATGTTCGCCTCGATATGATCTTTGATTTTAATCAAATTTCGAAAAGTTTCATCGTCAATATGCGAGAAATTAATACGTTCCGTAGACGTTGACATCGTTCTTCCTGACAACTTTAACCACGTTTTTTTGAAAAATTATTTTATTGAAGATGACACAAGACAAGACCAACAAATATAAAAAGACACCTCATTTCAAACTCTCAAGCTTAAGTTTGAGTATAGAATGTTTGTAGCTTTCACATAATGTTTTATGTTTAGTTTATACATGGAATAAACTTAATTTGACAGAACAACTCTAATAATTGCTCGATAAGTTGGCCTTTTTATCTATCACTAGTTGTATTTACAATACACGAGCGAAACTTTGTATCAATTGATTTTCAATTTCTCAATTTTATTCCGACATCTATTTGTCACGTGTATATGAACAATCTATTTCAAATATCACCTAATAAAAGACATTCTGTTTAACTATGGCGAGTCACATGTTTACGTATATCTACCGTTACTTCTCAATTAATTTCTTTTGGCCAACCGTTACGGTATAAGTCGCGACACGCAACGATATCGGAAGCAATGTGTTAAAAGAGAGTGAGAGAGAAAGAGACAAAAGTTTTTTGCTATCATCGTTATGCTGTTACAGCAACATATCTCTCGCAGCATTAATGCGCGATTGGCGCCTGTTTTGCGACGATAACTTGAGATTCGCGTCACATATAATTGTGACTGTAATTTAACATTCACCTCGTTACATCGTCGGAGGGATATAAGCCGCTATAGTAATGCGTTTCTTCACTATAGAAAATTTGTAAGTCACTTCCTTCATCTCCTCTCGATTTGTTTCGTTCGTCGAGCCGCATTTAATCTCGCATTTTTAATTTTCCGTCATAAAGTTATCGAGGAAACGGGGTATAATTATATCTCGCAGCATATAATGATATGTAATCGTGTTAATGCTATATTTTATACCTGGCGCTATATACATATATATGACGAGTTATTAAATAGCTGGATATTCTTTGATAAATAAATATAATTATCAATTTATTGGTAAAGTCGATTTGAAGTGATTTTTTTTAATTGCTGAAAAAGATTAAAGATTTTTCTTTTATAAAAAAGTTTAATAAAATTCCTAGTAAATTTTATAGAATTAATTACAATATAAAATAATTATAATAATATAATAAATATTCATTATAATATATTTTATAGTTTTCCCTAATAACATTTTTTCTATTAATGTTTTCCTCTCGGACTCAACATTTTCTTTTATTTATAAACTTGTAATCTCTAACACCTCCGTTATATACACGTGTAAATACGCGTATAACTTTACTGCCAACAGTGTAAAAATAATTTTACGAAATAACACTCGTGCTTCAGGAGGCACAACAAATTTCCGAGATATGATCTTGTTATTTCAAAACCGTTCACGTATTCGCGCGAATCCTTAAGAGATACTTGTACGACCAAGTCAAGGTGATTATCGCTTGGTGAGGATCGATTCTTAGGGAGGAGAACCTCCTTTCTCTCTCTCTCTCTCTCTTTTATGGAGGAGACATCCCTCTTCTTGCGAAACGGGTGCAACTCGTAGCAAGTTTGCTGCATTTCGAGGGATACAGCTCGCGTGCAAAAGCATAAACCTGCCGAGCCTCTTCTTTCTAAAGTAGGTGCGTACGCGATACTCCCTTATACGGCCAGGTAGCGCCGTACATGGCCGGAATGTAGGGATCGCCGTTTTTGTATCATCGATTCTCTCTTTCTCATCTCTCCGTTTTTCCTCTCTTTCGTTTCTTGTCTTTTTTTTCTCCCTTTTATCGCAATTTGCCGCTCGCACGAAACGCCGATCGCGCGTGCTCTCGTGATCTTGGAGCACGAGCTTTAATTATCGGGAGAGACCACGGAGAATTCGGAGCCAAGCTTGTACGAATTTTATTGTATAAGTCCTTCCTGACAATCTTTTTGTCCCAGCGAACAAATATTATATTATATTTCTTGCACTCACGTGCCATTTCTGGAGAAATTTGTTGGCGATTAATTATTATATTAACAGCAATTATATAAAAATGAATGGATGGGAGTGAAAAGAAATGACAGATAATTTATGTCGAGAGAAAAGAGCGAGTCGTCGGAAGCGACGAATATAAATAATAATTAAAAGCGAAATTCGACAACCAGCGGGAGATCGCGTATCCTAAATACACACGAGCGTTTGTTCCTTATTAGGTACCGCGTGCCCTTCATTTACGGAACTCGCCGTTCCTTTCTCATGGCGCGCGGCGCCATTCACGGATGATTTACTTCTTTGCCCACGTCTCCGGAATTTAATAGCTTCGCCCGCCAACGCTAATTGACCGTCGCTGATTGTTCAACAGCCACAAAGTTATGGAGATCACATCTGATTTTATCTGATTATCTAATATCCTTTTACTCTCCTTTTATAATGATCTCTATTTATTTTCAGATAGCAAAAAAGTATTTGGAAATGGATACGTCTAATTTATTCTGTCATGAACTATTTGGCAGAATATATTCTCTATTTTTTTAACATTTTTTACAATATATAAAATTATTGTTTTTTAAAAATATTTTAAAAAAGCTGATTGTTCAACAGCTACAAAGTTATGGAGACCACATCTGATTTTACCCGATTATCTAATATCCTTTTACTCTCCTTTTATTATGATCTCTATTTATTTTCAGATAGCAATATATTAGCTCTCTTTCAGATTTCTTGTGTTTAATATTTTTTACAATAAGGTTACAGCTTTTTTCATTTGAAAGATACTTTGAGAAAGCAATCATATGTTTCTTGGATCCAGATTATAAATAAAATTCACATCTCGAATTATATTTCTTCAAAGTATTTAGAAATGGATACGTCTAATTTATTCTGTCATAATAAACTATTCGGCAGAATATATTCTCTGTTTTTTTAAACATTTTTTAAAATATATAAAATTATTGTTTTTTAAAAATATTGTATAAAAAAGCAATCATATTTCTCGGATGCACACAGTGAATAAAATTGACATCCTCTCGAGTCATATTTCTTCATAAGTGTATTTGGAAATGGATATACGTCTATATTACTCTATTAAAATGAGCTACGACGGGAGATTGCGTTGCGGTTCTAACAGGAATTTTAATTGTTTGTTTGAAAGATCCACACGTACCTGGTGAACGGTCGGCCCGGAGCTGCGAACCACAGCGCGACTTTGCTGGAATTCACCCAGGCCAAATACGTGCGGCTGCGTTTTCAGGGTCTTGTACGTGTCGGCGAGGCTTTCGCCGACAAAAGACGCGTCTTCTACTCGATAAAGGAAATCAACATCGGAGGACGGTGTCTGTGCTCGGGACACGCGTCCCGTTGTCTGTACAGCGTTAATCACGGGGTAAGTGCGAACGAATATTATTTTCGAGTAGGATATACGTATATATATGTAGTACGTTATTAAATTTGCAAAACGCAATGCAAATTGATAACTGTATCAAATATGATTTGAACAAAAAAGATTCTGCTCTAGTAAAATTTATTATTATTATTATTATTCTTTTGGATTTATTTCTCGCGAAAGATTCTCAGGTAAAATTCGATACTTTCGCTAGTCTCCGAGGTTGGTCTCGCGCTCTCGGAAGCGATATGTAGTACGTTATTAAATTTGCAAAACGCAATGCAAATTGATAACTGTATCAAATATGATTCGAACAAAAAAGATTCTGCTCTATAGTAAAATTTATTATTATTATTATTATTCTTTTGGATTTATTTCTCGCGAAAGATTCTCAGGTAAAATTCGATACTTTCGCTAGTCTCCGAGGTTGGTCTCGCGCTCTCGGAAGCGATATGTAGTACGTTATTAAATTTGCAAAACGCAATGCAAATTGATAACTGTATCAAATATGATTCGAACAAAAAAGATTCTGCTCTATAGTAAAATTTATTATTATTATTATTATTCTTTTGGATTTATTTCTCGCGAAAGATTCTCAGGTAAAATTCGATACTTTCGCTAGTCTCCGAGGTTGGTCTCGCGCTCTCGGAAGCGATATGTAGTACGTTATTAAATTTGCAAAACGCAATGCAAACTGATAACTGTATCAAATATGATTCGAACAAAAAAGATTCTGCTCCAGTAAAATTTATTATTACTATTATTATTCTTTTGGACGGATTTATTTCTCGCGAAAGATTCTCAGGAAAAATTCGAAACTTTCGCTAGTCTCCGAGGTTGGTCTCGCGCTCTCGGAAGCGAAATACGCGGCGAGATTTGGCTCCTCGGCAAATAAATCCGTCGAAAGTGCCATAAACTTGTCAGGCCTTTGTCCGCCGACACCGCTCTAATGGCAGGATCCCTTCTCTACTCGAAGTCGTTACCCGTTGCAAAGCCGTATAGACATGCCGCCAGGAATTAAGGTCCCTTCGCGATCGCGTGGAATGAGTGCTTTCAGAGGCGCCATTAGCTCCTTTTTTTTTCGTCACTATCAATGTTGCGGTTTCTAGGATACGCGTTTGAAGTGCCTGGCGGGAATCTCGGGGATTGAGGGGGTAGAGCGATGAATCACGATTAGAACCGTGAGAATTGCTCATTCACCCAACAAAGGCTGACCCGAATCGTATACGCTCGTCACCTGATTGTTACCGGCGCCGTTAAAGCTAGTATTTATGTCTATTCATGTGCCGCCTGTTGTTACGAAAAACAACTTTGCATTCGTACATTTTTTATTCATTTTATAATTTTTCTATTTCAATCAGGAATTGCCTATCATATGTCTCTCTTTTGAATATTATTTTTAATTATTATGCGAACATTTATACTCAGGTATATGTATGCATGCATATATGTACACATATATACAGTATTAATTAAATTTTTGTTTCTAAAATATTTAATATAAATGTGTGAGGATGTGTACTCTCTGGAAAAACTGGAGGTTATCAGACATTTTTTATCATCCGATAAAAAACGGAATTTCCGGAAAAATCCAAAAATTCTCTATCTTTCTCAGTTTATCACAACTCAGAGGAAGTTTTCCAAAATTGTGTTTGATAATTTATCTCTCTCAGTTTACCACAACTCAGAGGATGTCAAAATTGTGTTTGATAATTTTATTTTTATTTATAGCACTGGAAAACATGCGTGTATCTATCATATCTTCGTAATGGAGATTTCAAGCTTTAAAACCCTATTTTAAAATTTAAATTATCACGTTTCGAAACAAAGTTACAGCTATATAAAATTTGCTTATTGTTTTTGGACAATTTTTTTGATCCCCTAATTATTTTGAGGAGTGGATATTAATGACATTTTAGCAAGAGAAATCTAATTTTAACTGTAATAAATAAGATGATAATAGTTGAACGTGAACTGAGTATGGAGCACATTTAATGTGAAATGCAGGTCAATAGCGTGCGGACTAAATTTACGGCTGCCACGAGAGACGGAATGAAAATGCAAACGCGCTATGTTTGATCTCGAGAGATGATTCACGTTTAATTGCGGACATGCACAGGCGCTGCAGTTTCTCAGACAGCGGCGCGATACACGTGCGAGGGAAGACAATAGTCAACGCGAGTGATTAATTACTCTCGTCAGCGGCATATTTCTCCGGCGAAGCTGGAGGGTACACCTCTTCCTATTTCGCTTTTCTTCTCGCAGCTGTACAGGAACACGAATCCTCGCTCGTTACAATCCGAGAATGGACATTCTCTCTCGCCCAGTCGTGGCGCTCTATACATAGCTGGCTTTAACAGACAATAATAGTTCATCGTGTCCCCTAACAATTACACTGAGACGTTAACGCTTGAAATTGCGACATCCCTCTCTCAGCAGCATTCATCGCGATTACGTTGCCTTATTCTGCAGACGAAGTGCAAAATTTAAAAAATAATCTCCGCACGAAAGTGGCATTTCTTTTTCAGTACGTTAATATCTAGAATTGTCAAAATTATTGCCTATATTTTACGATTTGGATATTTTAATGTCGAAAAAAACTCATTTTATTAATACAATCAATACGTATTGTAATACATAATTTAAAAGTGCACATTAATATTAAATTTGAATAAATTAACATTAATAATACTTGAATACATAAAAAATTGATCAATTAATTTTTTGATAATTCTAGAACTTTATTCTTATGAATTTTAAAAAGAATATCTCGAGATCTTTTTATTTATATATAAGAAATGTCATTTATCGCTTTTGTAAGCAGAATTCGACTTCTGCAGCCTTTTCACCTCTTATTTCCATATTCCTCGAATCAGAAAAGCTTTTCGTGAAATCGTGGACGTGACGCGATGGAATAGTTATCGTGTCATTCGTGATGCAACGCGGATTTCCGCTGCATCTCGTTATCGCTGCATCGCATTATAGGGGTTGGCCGTTGACCTCCGCGTAGTATTTTGCTCACGGAATTTTCACGACTCGTTCATCCGCGATACGAGTCACGAGTACAAGTTCATTCAGCTCGTTGTTATGAATCGAAGCGGGATTATTACGGGAAGTGTGATGGGAGACGCAGATACAGTGAGAGGCAAAAGAAAGAAACGAAACGATCGAGAGAGTCTACTGGATGTTGATGGGATTTTTTTTTTTTCGGGTCTGTCTACAACTGCGGATATGAGAACATTGCGGAGCATTGTATGTCGCTATCAATTCCGTATACAACTGTTACGGTCGCTTTAACATTGACGTCTCTTCGGAGGTCTTATCATCCCTCGAACGCATTCCGGGTAATTAATCATTTAATTAATCAATCTTTTTGCGAATCTTTGCGAGAACGGAAAGTATATCGTGAAATGAATTCATATTAACACGAAAAAAGTATCAATTACTATAGATAAAATTTGGTTAGCTATCCTTATAATACACCTGAAATTTCGTTATCGTGCCTAAATGTTATAGAATTTTATTTGAAAACAAATTTTTAGGTACTAATATTTTTTCTGAGAACTTTATTTTTTTTTAATTCTTTAAGTTAATGTTGAGAAAGAAGCTAGAGAGGAGACTGAGAGAGAAACTTTTAATTTTATTTATTGACTCTTAATTTTATTTTTATCTTAAAGAAATATTAATTTCTTTCTCATTATGTAAAAGATTTTAATGCTTTTTCTTCAAAAAGATTTAAACGCTTTACATTATCCTGCGGTTCATTTATGTGACATAAATCTCCTCTAGCTTCATTAAAGCTTTTGTCTGGAAACATTGGTCTCCCCACAAAAAACATATTATCCCAGCCGTTTATGCAGTCATTTATATTACTGCTTCATCAATATCTTTCTTCGACTAATGATTTCTATCTTTTAAATATATTCCACTGCATGCAAAGTAGAGGAGCAATTTCCGTATGAGACTTAATCAGGCACGTTTGCGCAATTTTTTTTCGAACAGCATCTTGTAATTTAAGATTTATAATAAATTACAAAATTATTTCTTAAAGGATAATAATAATTTATTAAAGAATAATTTATTAGTTATCGAAAGAATATGTTTTATGATTTAATATTTAAACAGTCGATTTTTCGAACAGCATCTTGTAATTTAAGATTTATAATAAATTAAAAAATTATTTCTTAAAGGATAATAATAATTTATTAAAGAATAATTTATTAGTTATCGAAAGAATATGTTTTATGATTTATTAATATTTAAACAGTCGATATTTTTTTCTCAATTGTTTTACAATCCAAAAACTGTCGATCTGCTTCTTTTAATTAAGAGAAAGAGTTTTCGGTCGAAGAATTTCATTGAAATTAAAAGACCGGGTCATATTCGATGATCGGAGAACCGTATAAAATTCATCGGGTTTTCATTTTTCGACCGCTGGTCCACATTTCGATTCGAGAAATAATATAATGGTCCCGGAGCATTACAGAGAGAATATTACATCCCGATGAAATGTAATTCGGGTTCGTTAAATGCCGCCGCGGCAAAGAGTAATCGCAGAAAACCGGGACTTGGCGATCACCGATCGCGAACTGGGTGGTCATTATCGTCGGCAGTAAATAATATCGAGCACGTGTTAACGGGGAGGCAGAGGAGAAAGGAATATCGCGATTGACCGGAGTAGTTTGTTCGTTTCTCACATCAATGATAAGACCACACGCGTAGCGGTTTAATTTCTTTTTGTTTTTCCGCGATATATATACGTATATATCTTGAAATACGGTGAACTCGAGGGTTCATTAATCTCGCGATTTATTTTGGGCGCTAATTTTTCGTGCGATTTCTTCGGCCCCGATTCCATGTGTTCCGATATAATTGCAGGGTCAATCGAGATAACTTTCCGGCAGAGAAAGTGAATCCGCTTGATAATATTAATAGCCGACATTTATGATTCTGTAATAATTATTAATTGGGATAGTTATTAATTTCATTGAAAGTTAAATTGTCACAATTTGAATTAATTGTGTTATTATAATTAGAAGATTTTTGTTTTAGAAATTAATTACATTAATTATTAAAGTTAGGAAATACTTATTAATTTACGATAATTATTAATTTTATTGGGGGAAGCTCAATTGTGTTACAATTAAATAGAAAGTTTTCGTTCGTTTTATTATAATATTCGAGTATTCTGATATATAAAAGGGAATAAGAAAAGGGATACACTTATTCCTTTTTGGTCGAGGAGAGACGAGATTTACGACACAAATATTTGTAATATTTGTAACTTTATCTCGACTTGACTGTTATGATTGTGAACGATTTGCTGGTCGCAAACGCTGTTTTCTTGAAACGACAAAGGGGACGGTTTACTCGTAAACCGAATGTATAACGTCCAGTGCAATGAAAACTTCGCTTTACGTCCGGCGATATAGTTATCCGCGATTATATGCATGTCGTTTGCACACGCCCGAAGTGCAACCGCGACCGTGAAGTTTCCGTCTTTACGACTTCGTAATAATCGGTGGTAAACATTCGAATAGCTTGTAATATTACCGAATGCATGTCGATTCATAATCGATTACATAATCAACAATTCAATCACTTTCAATCTTGCACTCTTGGTGCTTTATTATATTTTCTTACGCATCGTACAATACATCAAGCAGCAAAATACTGAAATTATTAATAAACTTGATTTAATTTTTTGTCATACTTTTTTTTTCACAACGATCTTTTTTCCTGATTAATATATATGAATAAATTATTAAATTGTTTCATGTTATTCAATTCTTATCATTAATATATTATTATCAATTAAATAATTTAATTTTTATGGTAACAATAATATATTTGATTAAATTTTGAGTAAAAATCAAATATAATATTTTTTTCTGATTAATTTATATGAATAAATTATTAAATTGTTGTATGTTATTCGATTCTTATCATTAATATATCATTATCAATTAAATAATTTAATTTTTATTGTAACAATAATATATTTGATTAAATTTTGAGTAAAAATCAAATATAATATACGATAAATATTTTGCTCAATAATTAAAGATTGTCAAAATATGAAAAATCGGATAAATAGAACGGATGAGATAAGTCCTGAGAGTCGCTCCGCGATAAGCAAGGATGTTTATGAAAGTTTCTTTGAGGCTGAAGGAAATTGCGGAAAAGTTGTGTAGTACGACCGATAAATGTCTCCTTACATTCTCCTATCAAGAGCGATAGATCGCGTGCATACGGCGGAGATACTCGCGGTAATCTAAGAACATGAAGTACGTTTCGCGGCATCTGATAAGCGGTATTTTGTGTTATCCCTCAGCATCAGGAATGCCAATGCGAGCGCCACACGTGCGGCGAAAGATGCGAAAAATGCTGCCCCATGTACAATCAGATTCCATGGAGGCCCGGCACAGCTGGCAAGGGCTTTCACTGCGAGACGTGCAACTGCAACGGCCACGCAAACTCCTGTATATACGACCAGGAAGTGGCCGACAGGAGAATGTCTATGGATATCCGTGGGAAATATCGAGGCGGCGGCGTTTGCGTCAATTGCACGGTGAGATGATTAAAAAAAAAATAACGCAGTACGCGATTTATCGCGCATACATTCCGCAAACGGATGTCGTTAATTTAATGCGGAAAGAGAACGAGAGTTCATTTCTTCATTCCTTTAATTTGCTCGTTCTTGCTCTTATTTTTTTAAATGCTCGAAGAATTTTTTTCGAAAGAGAATACTTTGACAAGTGTATGCAAAGTGTGTCTTTAAAATTAAACTTGAAAGTAAAATATTATGTTAGAAGAAAATACTTAAATATTTATTTGAATTATATTTTTCATTGGTTTTTTTATAATCATGTACTATTTTTATTTCTATATAATATTATTAGTATATTTGATAAATATTATTTGTTAAATTTAAAACATAAAACGTCTTTTTAAGAATATTGAGAGCATATTTTATAATATTATTATTTGCATGTAGGTAATAATAATTATTTGTATTAGGGACATACGGCTGGTATTAATTGCGAAAAGTGCGAGATCGGCTACTACAGACCAAACGGTGTTGCGCCTGATACACCAGAACCATGCATGCCCTGCAACTGCAACGTGTACGGTAGTACAGGCTATTGCACTCCCGACGACTCCTACACACGTATAGGAAAGGTAATTTCTACATTAATTTTACCATAAAGTTCCAGCAAAAAAAGTATCTCAAAATAAATTAAAATAAAATATAAATTGTAAATTTACACATAAAATTTTTAAAGCTATTTAAATCTAACAATATTAGAAAATTTCTTCTACGTATGTGTATATGTGTGTATTTATCCATTTTTTAATAAATAAAAAACCTTATTTATTTTAAATTACCATCATAACGCTGAATCTCGGAAACACATCAGCCGCGCGACCAATCGATTAGTCGATTAATCGATCGCTTGCGATTAATCAATTTATGTCGATTCGTCTATTCCTAAATTTTCACGATCTTAAATCGATGTAAGCACCGAACTACTTCAACTTTTTTCTTCGTTTGAACAGGTAGCAGGTGCCTGCGAGTGCAAGCCAGGATATTCGGGATACAAATGCGATCAGTGTGCGGCCGGTTATCGACAGTTTCCCGACTGCTTGACGTGTCCCTGCGATTCCCGCGGGATTCTACCGTCTCACGATTGCGAGGGTGACTGTTTGTGCAAGGCGAACGTCGCCGGAGATTTCTGCGATCGCTGTAAATCCGGATACTTTGCACTCACGAAAGATAATCTCGACGGTTGTTTGCCCTGTTATTGCTCCGATACAACATCTCGTTGCACCGCTGCTAAGTTATCGTATAGTATGGTAAGGAGATCGTAAATCTTTTCGACAAAGAACTTTTTTAGTATTGGAAATTTTTATTTTTTAACTTTGAAAATTTTATGACATTTTTATTACAAAGTGACTTATTAAAATCCGACCTGACTGGCCAATACAAAAAATGTTGAACACAACGTTTCGGCTCTTCTCAAGTGTTGCTTTCAAAATGTTAAAGCGAAAGATGTGATAACACACTGAATAAATCACTTTGAAATTTATTTATTACTGGCGACTTCATTCTAATCATTTGACATTTTTATTATTTAAAATTTTCTTAATTTACTGTTCTCTGTGGATTTTCTTTTTAACTTAGTTTAATAATATTATTGTTATTTATTTGCACTTTTTCTCATAAATTTAAATTAAAAAATAAATTAATTAAATGTTTAATATTGTGTTACAATAGTTAATATTTGTTAATAATTGAATGGCAGTCGAAAAAAAGAGAAAAAGATGTATTAAAATTATTTCATCAGTTGAAAGATTAATATACATATACAATATATAATGAATTGTATAATGAATCGCGTTGTTTATTGAGACATTCTAATGAAAGTCATAACTTTTTTGAGTAATTTATATATATATATATATATATATATATAGTATATACACACACATATATCAGATAGGATTTATATTTATTGAGAAAAACCTCGTTTGTCGAGTATTGAGATTGACGAGTGTAAAATCCAGAATAATTAGTTGACATTCTCCTGCGGGCATGTCGTTCATTGTAAAACATTTATCTTAGTCGACGTCCTCATCTCGCGCAATAAATTGGATAAAGGGACAGTTATAGTTTATCGGTCTTGCCGATAAATTGCAGACCCGCAATTATGTTGACGATATAACGGCACCGAACTGGAAACGAGCAAAAACTCAAATTATACTGCAATAAGCAATACGCATAAAACTTCTCGGCGTACATAATTTGTCAAAACAAAATTTATTATCAAAATATCTTTTACAAAATGAGCGAATAATCTGACTGATATTAATTATAATATATATAAATTAATTAAAAATATATAATTAAAAATAACTTTATATTATATTTATTATTTTTATTTCTCTGATTAATTATATTTTTGAAAAACGAGATTGTAATCTTTATTTAATTCCGTATTAGTATCTATATGATCTTTACTTATTACTCGTTTTGTAAAAATCTATAACTCGCTGCAAAATAAAATAACAATAGTAACGTGTGAATTAGTGTGACGTAATAAATTCTAAAAGCGATTTCGTATTTGTTTTAGATTTCTACGTTAGAGAACTGGTTGGTGACGGACATGAACGCGTCTCGGCCAGTTGCTCCAACCTTGAACAACGACAACGGATGGTTAACCGTGACAGCGTTCGAGGTCGAATACGACAGCCCTTTCTGGCTGGCACCACAGATCTACACGGGAAATCGTGTGTCCTCGTATGGCAGCAATCTCACATACTCGGTTATGTGGGTTGTTATGCGAGGTGATACCAGCGGTAAACCCACCATGGAACCCAGCGTCATTTTAGTCGTAAGTATCCGGTTCTCGCGTATTCCCACGCATTATAATTCAAAGTTCTAGATTGAAAATAAATATATAATAACATGTAATTTTTTTTTTCAGGGTAACAACGGGATGCGCATAGCGTATGGTGAGGAACAGTATAATGGTCAAGAGGCTGAAATCGTGGTGCCTCTGCGAGAACACGGTTGGTATCACGTGCGAGAAGAAGTTCAGGATATTTCGGCAAAACTAAGGTTGAGGAGAACCGAATTTCGCGGTGATCCCGTGACGAGGACGCAGATGATGCGCGTTCTCGCTGATTTGAAGTATCTGATGATAAGAGCGCGGTATCATTCGGAGCAAATCGAGGGAGGGTGTGTAAATCAAGAAATTTTTTCTTGTATTAATTTATATTTCGAATGTTTTATTAATTATATTATATTGCTGTTTTATTAATTATATTACTGTTTTTAGACTTCAATCTGCCATATTGGCAGTGGGCGAATTATCACTGGATGGCGAAAGCGACACTTTAGTTGAAATGTGCGAATGTCCCGAGGGATACACGGGAATGTCCTGCGAAAGTTGTGCTTGGGGATATGTGAACGTGCCGACCAATAGTTCCGATCATCAGGATCGTCATACATGCATGAAATGTGACTGCAACGGCCACGCGGGCTCCTGTGATCTAGTGACGGGTGAATGTGGAGTAAGTTCTGATGAATTTAATTTATTATATAAATAATTAAATATTTAATAAATTATAATAAAATTAATAATAAACTAATATATAATGTTTATAGATTATACAGAGAGAATTTTCTCTTAGAATTTACTCTGAAAATCATGATAATTGTGGGACAATATGGTATTGGGAGAATTTTATAAGAGTTTTTCTGATCAATAATTATCACAATAAAAAATATTAATATATCTATCACAATAAGATATAAAACATATGTTTGATTAATTATACTACATACGTAATAAAATTTACTATGTACATATTAATATTTTTTATTGTGGTAAATATTAATCAGAGAAACTCTTATAAAATCATGATTTTCAGGATAAATTTTAAGAGAAAAGTCTCTCCGTGTATATATTATTTTATATATTTAATATATAAAATAATAAAATATTTAATATAAATTAATAAAAGTATAACAAAAAAAGACGTGAGAAGAAAAATATAAGAAGAATATTTTTCATATTATTTTATTATCTTATATGTTATTAATTAAAATAAATGACTTAATTTTATGAAGATGTGCGAATACTATAATGAAATTAATGCAATAAATATAAACTTAATTTTCTAATGTCAATTAAAAAATATTGATTAATATTAATTTACATTACTTTAAATCAAACGTTAAATGAATTTTTTCTTAATAAAAATAGATTATTATATTATATGATTGCATATATAAGAGAAATTCTGCAGTGTGACTTTAGACATAAATTCCTAAAAATCTGAACATTTTACTGTGATATTCTGATCTTCAACCGGTATAGCAGATCACTTTAGATACTTACAATTAAACTGGTATTAATCTTGCGAACTGCGACTACAGATCACAAGATTTATCCCGCAATCTGATTTATCGATTTAAGATGTAATCTTTAACTTACTCGTTAAATATTCATATTATAGATAGCGATATCAGTTACTTCTCTTCTAGAAAGATTTTCTAATTTTAACAATATTTTAGTAATAATTTTAATAATATTTAATAATGACGAAGGCTCTATAGCTTTAATTTTCTATTAACATTTTTGAATAAAGCGCGCTTTATTCGAGATCGATTAATGACGTCATTGACCAATCATAACCATTTATCTTCAGAGAATGGCTGTGATTGGTGAATCGCGTCATTACTCGATCTCGAATCGATTGAACCAATTTCAAATCGTAAACGATAATAGAGAACTAAAGTCGTAGAGCGTTACTCATTTTCTTTCTTGCTTATTTAAATATAATTATTTGTACTATCTTTGCGAAGATGTGCGAACACCATACAGTGGGTCCAAAATGCGATCGTTGCACCACAGGATATTACGGTATCGCAACGAGAGGCAGCAGCGAAGATTGCAAGAAATGCGCTTGTCCACTTGCCATCGAATCGAACAATTTCAGTCCGAATTGTCAGCTCGATGAACCGACCGATATTAACAGTGGATACGTGTGCACGCAATGTCCCGAAGGCTACGCCGGAAATCATTGCGAAAGGTGAGGAAAAGAAATTATTTATACGTCGAATAACGAATAATTTCTTCGGAAGAAAGTATTAGGCCGGTTTCATAAATGTAGATATACGTTCTTAAAAATTGGCCCTTAGCTATCGTAGCTAAATTTTAAATATCTCTTTTAAATGTACTAACTAATTATATTTGCAATATTTTAACTATAATTTAACAGGAAATTCCGTTAAACTTATAGCTTACAATTATTATGGCCTCAAATTTCAAGCATAGTAAATTTTAAAAAATAATATAATCTAAAATTAATGGTAGCTAATATTTTTTTCGTGCTATAAAAACTCAAAATATAATAATCGAAAAATTAAGTTTCAATGAAATAATTCAAAACAACTTAATTATTGATTTTTCATGGCTTTTTATACTTAAGAATTTATATAATGTTTACAAGCTAAAAATATATATTGCAAAGATACAAATAATATATACATGTATATCATATAACTTTAAACAACAAAAGTCTTATTATATTTTACTTTTTTATAATTGCAATAATTATTTGAATATGCTTCTTTTGAAGCAAACAGTTTATGTGATTAAAGTATTATTATTGAATAAAAAAAAATAACTAATTTCGATTTCGATTAAAAGTTGTGATGTAGGATTCTACGGCAATCCTATGACACCCGGGGGCACTTGTCAGCAGTGTCCTTGTAATGGTGGTGCCTGCGATCAAGAAACGGGTCGCTGCTTAGAGTGTCTCGGCAACACCGAAGGCTGGAAATGCGACAAGTGCAAAAAAGCGCATTTCGGAAATCCTTTGGACCAGAATTGCATGCGTGAGTATAAACACATATTTTATATTTTGCAATAATGCGATTTAAATTGATTGAAAATTTACACATAATCAAATATTTCTGATGAAGTCTTTGCAAGGAATAACATTTAGATATTTGCCCCATTGCAAAGCAAATTAATATATTAAATAAAATATTAATTAAAATATTATATTAATTAAAATAATTAATATATTAATTAAAACAATTTGAATATATAATAATAAATTAATTAAATATATAATAAATGTGTACAATTTATTTGTTTTTAGCGTGCAACTGCTTTCCCCTTGGTAGCAATTCGGTCGAATGCGAGCAAACGACCGGTCAGTGTCCCTGCGGGCATTTGTTCACTGGTCGTGACTGTTCCTCTTGCATCGAGGGCTTCGGGAACGTGACTGCAGGTTGCCGGGAATGCGACTGCGACGTGGGTGCCACGAGCGACGGATTCTGCGATCCCGTAAGTGGCATGTGCAGGTGCGCGCCGAATGTCATCGGCTTCCGGTGCGATCGCTGCGACGTGGACCACTACGGCTTGTCAGCGAGTGGCTGCAAGAGTGAGTTGCATGCTTTTTTATATTCCGGCATGCTTATTGCTTTTTTATTATATTATCGGACCTTGGCCGGACTTGTCTCTCTTTTTACTGCGACACAATGTAGGTCCGTCACGTTTTGTGGGTCAAGTATTTGATATTTTACTTTAATTTTCAAATTTTATTTTATTCCATTTTTCTAACTTAAATATTTACAGTATATTATTATACTTACAAATTATATTTTACAATATTTATATATTATATTTAATTTGCATTCTTACTTGATATACATTATGGAAAAACCGAGAATAATTCCGAGAAGTTTATTTTTCTGCTTGTTCGAAAAAAAATTTGGAAATTAAAATAAAATATATTAAATATACTTGCAAATATAATTTTAATTCGTAAAATTGAAAGACAAATTACGCGTAAATTTGTTTTGGATTATCTTGGAAAGATTTAGGACGAAATTATTTTTTCTTTCTTATATATTAATTTAAATTGCTATTAAAATAAATCTTTAAAAAATTACGCGAAAGTTTGATTGAGAAAACTAGTAATCTTCTGCATATTTGTCGATAAATAATAGCCGACAAGCCGAGCCGCGTATAATGATCATTAACAAGTCTAATTACTTTCGAGAGAAAATCGCATCGTTACATGGCTTATGCGCTCACTAGGTTTTGATAGTTGCAAAGTTTTTTGTAAGTTACCAAGTACCTCATTCTCAGGACTGCATTTAGCGCAAAACCACAATATGAGCATAAATAAAATAATCCTATTTTCTCTTGTCTCGTAAAATACGAAAGCGCCAATTTAAGAAAGTGCGCTTTAATATAATACATTGAAAAATATTGTTTTCAACTATATTTTGCAAAATCGTTCTAGAATACTCTAGATCCTAGAATTAGGTAAGTGATATAATTTATTTATAAATAATATAAAATAGTTGACAATTTACCCGTATATATTATACGTGTCTAAAAAGATTGATTACGATATTGATGATTTCACAAAGAAAAGAGCGCCGTATAAGGGCAGCCCTGTACCTGCGTTTAGTCGAGATGGAACGTAAAGAGTAATGCGCGACCCTTCATCTTACTCTAACGCAAAACCCGAGATATTTTATCTCGGCCACATACTCTAAGTACGCTGCACTTATCCGACCTGGCAGCGGCCATGATTTCAGAACGCTGCCTAAGATTTACGAAGCTGAAATATTCTTACCGTTCCCGTAATCCGCTTAATTTTAATTTACGGTCATATTTACGAGCGCGCGTTATTTCGATCGTCAAACGCTGCATTGATCTTCGCCCATCTTCTTCATCTTAAATAAATTACAAATCAAAATTGTAGGAAAAAAAATTAACATTTTGAAGAAAATTAAAGTTTTGCTTTTCCAAATATATTTTATTTAAAATATATATTTGTGATAAATAAAAATATTTATAAAAGCATAAAACCTTTAATTTTTATATATATATATATAAAATTTTATTTACATTTTTACTTTAAAAGGATATACAAAACTTAATAATTTTGATATTTTGTGATATTATACTCTCTATAAATTTATTTTTAATACCTCGAGCAAAATTATACATACGCGATTTCGATCAAATCAACGAAAAAAGTAGCGTAGATAAATGGGGACGATTAAACACACAACTTTACCTTCGTGATGGCCGCAAAGGCTAGGCAAAAAGTTGAATTTACGCTACCGTGTAAATTAAAATCACCAGATATACACAGACGAGCATCAAAAACAGAGTTTCATCGCGCGAGGGATAATTCGAGCGTGTCGCGACATAATAGTCCGGTCGCATTAAAACGTTATATGAAGACGTTTACAAGCAATGGTACGAGGTGTCGAGAAAACTTTGATATACACGACGGTCGTTAGAATTTAACGTCTCTCGGACGAACGAGCTTGTAAGGGCAGCGCGTAAAATCCTGATACGCCTCGTTGTGGCGGCTCCTTTACGATCCGGCCAACAAATTCCGCGAGATCGGACAGATTGTTATCAGGCTATCACGAAGAATCCCATAAATCGCAATCATTCAACCCGTCGTCGACCAGATTTCCGGGACTTGACGTCTTTCTTTTTCTCTGTCATTTTCTCCCCTTCTCTTTCTCGTCGGAATAATCAAAGTTTCTATCACTCGTATCGTAATCTTAAGCCATTTGTTACAGAAAAAATCGCACAATCTCAATGGAATGTGATTGTGTCGTCTCTGCTTAAAGTATTTCGTTTAATAAAGCGATAAATAATAAGACTAATATATCTATAAATATAAATGCAGGTAGAAAACGGACTGATAAAAGTCAGAAAAGAGTCGCATCAAACTTGTTTTTAATTTGATTTAAATTAATTAAAGAAGAATTTAAAAACAAGTTTATTGTTACTAATTTTTGCGCCTGGCTCTTATATTATCATATTATTTCCTACACTGAAAAAGAAATTTTTGTTTAACTTGACTAAACCCTCCCAAGACTATTTTTCAATTAAATTATTATTTTATCAATTGAACATATATTTGTATTTAAGTCAAATATACATTTTGTTAGATTTAATATGTTATATTTAATTTAAATATTTTTATATATTTAACAAAATAACATTTAGTTGAGAAGTTTAGTCAAGCTAACAATTTTTTAGTGTGCCTGAATTTATTTTTTCTTTTCATTGCTTCATAGAAAATTCTATAACATATTCGAAAGAGAATTAGAAAATTATCATTTCTTACATATTTACATATGTCTCTCCACACCAAAGCTAAAAAACTTAAATCGTGAATTCTGAATACCGTCTAAAATCATTAGTATGGTATATTCTAATTGTTGGTTACATTCGCAATAGAATTTTGAGATTATTCTGTAACGTTATGAGAGCAAAATGATAAAAAAAGTCGAATTTAGAAGTTGTTTCCTTTCTCTTTGCACGAACGCGGGAAGGGATAATGAATTTCGTCAATAATGAGGATTGATTGAAGGATCGACTATTTGTAGTCAATGAACGTTCGTTTAAGCATACATCATAAGTGCCTCTTCAGATAAGTGCATAGGTAGATACTTTGCGCGATATGACGCGCCGTTTCACGTGAGATTTTCTGGTTTTATTTAGATCTGGCTCGTTTCTCTCTCTCGAAGAAAGCTCGAGGCTCGACAGAGCTGTCCGTGATGTTAATTAACTTCCTGCGGGACGCCACCTACTTCTTTCTCTCGTTCGCGAGTGATACGCTCCGTTTAACGTTAGACTGGCGGCGTAAACGATGCAACGAACGGCTGATGCATCAGTCAGATTATTACTATCAATCGCGGAAACCGCAGTCATTTCGAACTCATGCCGCACTTACGCACGAGTTCGATCATGCGTGTCTTTTCTTAAATAAATAAAACGCAAACAATTTTAGTTTTGTATCGGAGACACTTATTCCATTTACGTTTAATCGCCTTTTGAGATTTAATTTATCTTCAAAGTACGAAATCTTTCCACATATAATTTAGCAACACAAATGATTTAGAATAAATTATTGACATCGATTTTTTAATTGTTTTTCTGTGTTTATTTATTTTTTTTTTTTATTAATCGCAAATCGTTTCCGAGACATTTGCATTGAAGAAAATTGCATCAATGCGTGTCTTCTGAAGATTTAATTTATTTTAAAAGTAGAAGATTTTTTCCGTATAAAATTTAGCAACACAATTATTTATAATAAGTTATTAGTGATTATATTCATGACATATCGATTCTTGAACTTTTTTATGTTTCTCTATTTTTTTTACTCGTAAATCGCTTCCGAGACATTTGCATCGAAGAAAATTGCATCGTACACATCTCAGAATCAGTGAGTAACATTAACGACGAGAGACAGCATTAGTATTCGCGATTTCGATATCGAGATATTGGCGAGGTAAACCGGGAGACCGAAGAGTGCGGTTTTTCCTCGGAAAATTAATTCGATGCGCACGAGGGGCTATCGATAATGGACCATAAAAGACGCGGATGCTCGTTCGTGATGGACCGGCGAAAGTTTAGAAAGATGCAAATCGACGCCGAGCTGTCAGAGAGCGAGAGACTGTCAAGTCGACGAGATATATACGCGTCGCATTGAATGCTAATCACGGGGATGACGGGACACAAGTGAGCATTAATCAATCATTGTTTTGCAAATCTACTTGTTTTAATTAAATATTGTTACGTTCTATGTGTGTATATGTATATGTGTGTATGTACATATACACTCCCCTTTTCCGATTTGTAGCGATATTAATTACAGTTACCAATCGGAACTTGGCTGTTAATAACCTCGGAATCTTGTTCTGCAAGCTAAATATATCTTCCACTGCCACGATTCTTTTTTTTTTGTTTTTTTTTTTTTTTTTTTTCGTTTGCTCTCTTATCCTTAGTTATGCGAAAGGGACTGCTCATGCGTGAATAACGTAGGCGGACCGCGATCGAGAATTGTAAATTTTAAATCGGTACCGTCGTCGCTTGTGCATCAAAGGTTCTCCGAGTAATATCTGTACGATTCTTTTTCTTTCTCTGCGATACTTGCAAAATCATCTCGATTGTATTGTCGAGCGAAAAGAGCGAGCGAATGTCAATTGACACACTAACAATAACTCGGAATAAATTACGATAGTGTCAGAGAATTTATTTGCGATTTTAAACGCTTATATATATATATATATTACGACAGTAAAATTTTAAATCGTGTGTATGTATAAATGTCGTTTAAGATCAATTAAATTATAAATAAATGAAGCTAAATTATACACTGCTCTTTGTGAAAATTGCAACACAGCTAATATCACTATTCCCTTATGGCGCTGCAATTTTCACAAATAGCAAAAAAATATATATAATTTATCTATAATTTAATTTATCTAAAAGACGCACTTATACATATAATAAAATTTTTTATTTTATTATGATAATTTATTTATATAGAAAATTGAGATATACATAAATGTACATTGCCACTAATAATTTTTACAAATAATTATTAACAACACG